TTCAGGTGGAACGCCTTCGAAAGGATCCTTTGTTGGATCTTTGGGCTTACCGGATGAGGATGATGAGGAACCTCCTTTGCCCTCTTCATCTTCACCGGGATCATAAATCCCACTTTCAAATGCATCCTTCTTTGAATGATCAACCATTCCATCAGTCGAAGGGATCTTGAGTGCTTTGCCACTTTCCATCGGACCTTTGTCAATCAACTCCTCCACCGGTTTAGCATCCTCGTCTTCAGGCTTTGGAGGATCGTCCGATATCATGTAGCATGGAATGCGACCCTCACGGATAGCATTATACCTGTCCTTCAATGGAAACACAAAATCTCCGTCAGGCAAGGCGAGTTTGTTCGTTCCAACCCATGGCACACTACTATCAAAGTTGTTGTCCATCACCTCTTTAAGAGGGAGAACAAGGAACTCTTTCCTCCATGAGAATTCAGGGTGAATCTTGTATCCCAAAAATACTCCTGGTAGTGAGGTAGGATCGAATTTCAATTTTTCTTTGGATTTGGTTTTTGGTCCGGTCCAATAGTCAATCCTCACTCCAAAAGGAATCATTGGTCCCTTGAACTTCTCATCGAACCTGAGTTGCCATGGCGTTTGAGATTCCTGATCACCGAGTATGTTGTGCGCCATGCAACAATGTCTGGCGGCATGCGTCCAGTATGTATGGTGCAAACCCGCTTGTTCAAGATTGATACGAGTTCCATCAAGAACGGATCGAATACTCCTCTCTGCTTGAGCATTACTCTTGGAGATATACGGAACACTTGTAACGTCTCCCCATTTCAATTCTGATGCTGCCTTGACAAGCTCTTCTGCATTGTCTGAATAGAACACACCAATGTCATCCCGTCCCCGGGTGAAGTGCTTCAATGCAAGAACACAATCTCTAGTCGTTTTCCTAGCCGACAGATATACATATCTAAAGTCCGTAGCTATGTCCTTAACGACTAGAGCGTTTCTTGAACCATCGATAGCCTCTTCTTCGTCGTCCCGAAGAATGAGATGGTCAGCAGTGATGTGATCACCAAACTTGTCAGCATCAACAGTTTCGGATCCTCCCTTCTTGTACGATGGTGGCTTAGTCATCTTAGCCCTTGAACATGTTGTACAAAAGGGGTTCTTGGGAACATGTGTCAACAAATGCGCAAGCGACTTTGCTTCCCGCCTCAAGGCTTGTTCACCACGATCACGCTTTTCCGCTGGTGAATCGGGGACTAACCTGGCATCGACTGCTTCGGGTTCTGCTTCTGCAGACTCATGGGGTGCTTCCTCTACGCTAGGTGAAGTAGGGATCGGAATGTACGAAGACTTGCCGTTCCCGGAAGCATGTTCTTCATATTTGTGCCCGATAGCAGTCATAGCCATACCACTGGTTGATGGTAAATAAGGAACATAGTCCTTCACTTGAAGCTTGATCCTCTGCCCATTTGGCTTTTTGAAGTATGGTGTGTCATTTGACGGCCAGATGAACGACCAATCATGATCAATACATAATTGTCCCACGGATATCACTGCCGGACTATCATCAAGTACATATGGTTTTGCAGTGATTCCCAACAAGGGAATATCAAGATTAGCCTGATCATTAGCCTGGAACACTCCGTTAGCTGTAAGAAGACTAACCGGTTTCGAGGATTCGAACACTTCGTTGCGATTGACCATTTCCCTAGACACCAAATCATTCGCACTGCCAGTATCCGCAATCCATGCGATCTCGGTCGCAGGCATTGTGACCCGTTGATTCTTAAAACAATGCTTGCATCCCATTTCCGAATCGCAAAGATAGCAACATCGTGCCTCGATGCCATTCAACTCGTTTGAAACAGCTCTGCTCAAACGGTCTGCTGCAATGCATGCATCTTCAGATGCCATTTCCAAAACTTCAGCGTTTCCTTTGTGGCCTATTGGGAAACTGACATGCTTTCTTTGTCTTCGCGCAACAACTGGAAACATTAAAGAATTGCAATGAACCACGTGTTTAAAAACTTCTGGTTTGTCAGCAAAAGAAAGACGTTTCACTTTTCCCCGTCCTGACGAAGATGATGGGGAAGAACTGGTGGCAGGTGTAGCAACCATGGCCACGCTTTCCAACGGGCATCTGATAGTAGCAGACTGTGATGATGAGACCGCAGTAGCTAAGACCAGAGTGCGCAGCAGGCAAACAGCGGCTGGGTTAGAAGGAGTACCTTTCCCACCTTTGGATTTCTGACTACCGCCAGAACCGTTGGAGCCACGAGAAGTGCTTCGTTTCTTCTTCTCTCTTTTCTCCTTCTTCTTCTTTCGTTTCTTCCGGTCGTCACTTGGTGCAGGTGTAGAAGAACGATCGGGATGTTTGAAAGCACAATTCTTTCCCCGGTGACAGTCACCAGATTTCCAAAACTTGCAAACTTCCGATCTTGATCCCGGAGTCAACGACCTTCCACGTGAAGAAGAAGATCTACCCTTTCCACCACCTTTGGGCCTCCCTTTGCTGGATTCACGGGGTTTCTCATGTTTGAATGGGCAGTCGCGCCTACCGCACTTTCCTTTGTTCTGAAACTCATAGCAAACACCTTTCGGATTTTTGTCACTTGGGTCAATGACAGGAGCTGCAGGGTCTTTACCTCCAAGACTACGCTTCGTGGCATCCCTCATCTTTTCTAGACGTTTCCTTTCAAGGTATGCCTTGGCTGACTTGATCAAAAAGTCATAAGTCTTTTCGGCACTCCCTTCCGAGGCGCGTTCGTAGATGGCAAGATCATGAGCTAAAGGCTTAAAGTTCTTCACAGCAAGATGAAAATATGCCTCAAGCCATTTCTTGTCAACTTCCGTTCGCATCCCCGCGATAACAGACTCCCATCGCGTAACAAAACCTTTCAGGTCCTCGTTCACCATCTTAACACATATAAGATCTTCAACATCGTAAATAGCACCGTGTTTGATGGATGTAGCAAAGTACTCATGGAACAACAGTAGGATTTGTCGTCCCTTTATTGGTTCTTTTGCTTTCTCTTTGGTCTCCTTAAACGTGTTCAGTTGGCGAGCAAGGTCCCCCTCCGCACAGTTCGTGAGACTTGAGAGAAGTTTTGCATCCAGCGTGATGAAACCCTCAGAGTCATCCAGGTCCTTAGTGGTCACGGCGTCTTCATAAACCTTACCTAGCCATAACCTGGCCTTGTCCGGCTTAGCGGACGCCGCTGACACATTGTCCCGAACTTTAATTCGCCAATCTCTATACCTTTCAGGCGTAGGAAACTTGGGAATGAGGATCTTTTCGGCCTCTTTGGCCCTTTGTTCACGATCCTCTTTCTTCATCTTCTTCAAATGCTTCCTAACCTTACGGGCAAAGGATGAATCCTCAGAAGACGAGCTCGACGATGAAGGTGACTCGGACGGTGACGGTGACCCCTTTTTGTTTTTCTTTTTGTTCCTTTTGCGGAGTGATCTGCCACGCTTCTCTTCCTTGTCATCTTTCTTCTTCTTCTTTTTGTCTTTCTTGCTCTTCTTCTTGTCATCGGATGAAGACGAACTTGATGAACTGGGATGATCAGGAGGACCACCTCCAGCTACTTTCGGAGCATTAACCGCTCCACTTGCAAGAGCTTCACGGTAGGGTTCGCCGGAACTATCAGTCATTGATTTCTGCATTGGTCGATATGGTTGACCAAGAGGTAGCTCGTTTGAACCCATCGGACCTGGAAGAATTGTCCTGAGGTTAGCCGGTGTTCCAGCAGGCTCATAGTTCCCTCGAGCGGATGTTTCCATTTTCTCTCGAAGTTCTCTAATGAGCTCTGTTTGTGTTCTCAACTCTTCCCTCAGCTGTGATTCACGACTCTGCGCTTGTTGTTGTAATTCTGTCAAGTTGTGGTTGTATAGTTGAGCTTCAGTCAACGCAGCATTCTTGATGACTGCTTCATGTGCATTCATCTTAGCTTGCTCGTTTGCAGCCCAAGATGCAGCTCTTCGTTCTTGTAACTCGAGTTGCTCCTTGACATGGTCGTGTGCCTCTCGGTGAATGGCTTCCACTGTCTTTTTCACTTCTTCATCTTTCTTAGACATCAGTTCCCTGTGTCGCGCTTCTGCAAGTTGTGCGACTTCAGCGGACTTGTCCAGGTTGACGTTGATCATTCTTTGATCGTGGAAGTTCGCCGTTTGGTTAATGACTTGTCTCGAATCATTGTACGTACTCGACGGAACAAAGGCAGGGCTCGTGGGAGACAGGATAATCGCACCAGTCGACGTAGCTGGTGGCAACACGTTCCCATGTGCTTCAACCAATGCATCCTCATCATGCTCTGAGGTGAAGACTTCCGTCTGTACATATGACCCATTCTCATCGGCATCACCGACTCTTGACCTCGATCGATCCGTGCCATCTCGAATTGGTTCGAAGGGCCTGTCCGCCATGCCACCTCACGTGTGCGCAGAACGAGGGTGGGTAGGTGACACAGCTAGAATGGCGCGTACCGCTCTTTGGCGATACGGCTGATAACCTGAATTTACAGGCCAACAGCCTACAAGTACCAACATGTAGAGCGCCCTTTTCTTGAGCCAAACATAGAGGTCAATATGGTATGTACAGGTGTACAATCGTGCAAATACATAAGTCTTAGATCCGTGCAATTGGGATTGAATGGCACGATGCCTTCTTTTGATTGCCCAAAGAACACCAAAAGAGAATGTGGCTTATTTTGACTAGATTTTCAATTAGTGAGGTGCCTAGGACTTTTCCAGGATACCCCACGTGGATTCATAGCCTCATGATGAACTATCATGTTGAAAACCACGGCACATGGATTCTCATCAATGCACCACTCAATGCTCTTAAACAGCCATCACTCACTCACCACCCACCGTGCACAGGACGACTGTCCACCACCATTGCACGCAAAACTGAGAAAAGGAACATCTGAAGAGGTGTGAAAAACTCAAACAGTTTTGAAACGTTGAGCAACTCAAACACTTCAGAGACTTGATCAACTCCCTGCACCACGGTCCCAACTCCCCATCGCCTCCATCAGCCTCTCCAGTAGTTCTTTCACCCGCGGGCGTGCCGCCCGGGCTCCGAAGAGCGCCAGTGCCGTCGCGCGCCCTGCGCGGCCCACGCGGCGTAGCGCGCGCCGCGCGTCGTCGGCGCTGGCGTTCGACGGTGTGAGTAGGCGTCGGAGACGATCCTCGAAGGTGCTCTGCCGGAAGTCCTGGAACGGCCGGGGGGAGGATCTGGCAGAACAACTAATGGAACACCAGTTTGAACACCCTATAGGGCTACAAGTACGGTCTAAGAAGGTGTTTGTCTTTGTTTTTTGTGAGCTTCCCATGGATCTTTTGGAGGGTCCAAATAGCTTCTGAGCACTTGGAGCCCTACGGACAGGAAGATTGACCGAAAAAACATCGAACTGCCCTGAGATCCTGAGAAAAGAGTTCCTGAAACCATTCTTGAACCGCTCTTAAACGCACACATTCTGTCATTACTTGGTCGGAGAAACATGACACTGCGTGCTCAGCGACCTCTGCTCCCCTCCTCCCCCGCCTTCAGTGCAAAGCCATCGATGCCATCTGCCACCATCTGTTCCGGCGATCCACCGGCCGGCGTGGTGAGAACGGGCACGGCCAGGATCTTGGCCTCCAGAAGGTTCAAGGGATTCACCTCTTGGAAGGACAAGCTCACCTGCGAGTCGACGGCGCGGATGCTCAAGGGCGTCCGGGTGGGTGAGATAGCTCATGATGCTCATGGAGTTTGGGGGATGAGAAGACAACTCTCCGTTGATCTTGCGTGGCTGTTTTGCAACCAGGTACTTTTTTTGGGTATGTTGTTGATGTCGTTTTGGGGATTCACTTGTTTTGCTATTGGGTGTGTTGGTTGGGTGTAGTGCGCCTGCAAGTCGGCCGCCGCGGTGTACTTGAGATTCGCGGGGCCGAATTGGATGAGGCGCACCTTACGGCCTATCTCTGTGCTCTCGAACTTCTTCAAATACTTGCCTGAGTCAGGAGCCAAATTCAGGTATCCACAGGAGTTGAGAGTGAAGCATGGCAAAGCATAGTAGCAAAGTTCGATCTCTCTTTGAAGTCTTTAAAAATCTTCCAATGATCCTAACCAAAGGCCATCAATTGCAAATGAAGGGCCCCTGAATCGAAGATATATATTATAATATACCTTGTGCCTCCAAACACGACAAAAACGTAGGGTTCATCCCAAAACACGAGGTTCTTGGAGGAAACACGAGGTTTCCCATTTTGGTGTTTTTTCCGCCCATGCCATCTTCGAAGGCCGGGCCACAGGAACTTGAATTCAAACTCAAAAAGCCCAGGTTGATGATCAGAACGAAAAAAATATCAACCAAAAATGCAACTATTGTACCCCACTAAAACCCGTGAAAAAAACACGGGTTGTCACGGTATAATCACGGGTTTGTCACGGGTTTGGGAAACATAATGTTTTTCTGAAAACCCGAGGTTTTTCATCCAAAATCACGGGTTGACACGGGATAATCACGGGTTTGGCACGGGTTTGTCACGGGTTATCGGAGCTCTCAATCACGGACCCGAACTTTTCCTGACAAGAGTGTTGAATGTTTTTTATTTTTTAACATATTGTGAAACATGTTTAGACCACGGAAAATTTGATAAGTCGGCGGGAGAAAATGAATATGGAGCACCTGCACATGGCTATCGAGGGTTTTGTGGCAAAACACGAGGATTTTGTTAAAAACCCGAGGTTTTCCCTTATGTCACGGCTAAACCCGAGGTTTGTTTTCAAACCCGACAAATTTGTAGGGTTCAGATGCTCAGGGTATATATATATATGTCTATAGGTTCATTTAGACATGTACATGATCACGGTTAAAAAAAAAACCATACAGTATCTTACTCAGTAGGGGATATGGTAGGGATCTCCTTTTCTATATATAGGCCGGGTCATGGAGCAATCCGTGGAGCATCATCGAGCTTCCCAACGGAGTTGGATTTTTTGGGGTCACCGTGTTTCCACCGTCACGAATGGGATGAACAACACCAGTACATACCAGGACCCTACGACTGACTACATACCTACAGCATAAAAGGTAACTGCACATGCGCAATCCTATGCTTCATGTTACTTGCGCTATAGTGATAGCTCCTTGGATCCTTGCTAGCTTCTCATTACAGGTATGAGCATGACGATCTCTTCTTGTGTGCCCAGTATATAGGAATCTTCGGGGTGGTGTATATAGAGGAGTTATAGACGGTATAGATGTAGAAAATGCACACCCCTCAACGGATCGGAGAAGCCGAATGAATGAAGAACATTGAAGAACACCTAACGTCTCAACGTCCAAATCCCAACAATCCGCGCCCTGTCTAGAATGAACCAACGAAGCACCTTGACCACATACAACATCTGTAAGTCTGCTGGCTACCTATAGATCCCTATGGATGCCCTAAAGCTCATCCCACGTACGCAGGCGTACGAACCTCCTCTGCCGGGTCCGATCCCTGGCGGCGGCGACAATTCGGCCGGGTGGCGCTTGGAAGGTGAGGAGTCATCGGCGCCCACCAGCAGGATCAGCCACTTCCGAAAGCTGGCGCTCAGGATCTTCAGGACGCCTCAGGGCGCGAAAGCACGCGAGCCACAGCTCGATGGAGCGAGCTCGTCTGAGATTTCTGGGGCGGGAGGGGATCCCACCCGAAGCGGCTAACAGGATTGAGACGAAAGATGAAGCTGCAGGAGGTGAGGAGGTGCAAATCCACACGGGTAGCAAGATTGAGACGAAAGATGAAGTGCCCAGGAGGTGAACTTGTGGTTCATTGGACATTTGCTAGATGGCCATTGGCCATGAAGGATACCTGGTCGGTGTGGAGTTGTGAAGCACCCCTCTACTGCGGCGTCCGAACACAGGCTCAGTCTTTGGTGGCTGCTGGCGAGCCAAATCCACAAGTAGGAAGCTACAAGACCATTCTAGTTTCAAGATGTTTCAAGTCATCAATCAAGGTCAAAGGAGATCCTCCGTGAAAGGATTGACCCAAGACTCCCAAAAAACACCAGCCCCTAGCTGCAGAACCGAAAGGGCACATCGATAAGGACTCGTCTTGCAGTCTTGCATGAACTACTCCCATTGGTTTACAAACCCTTCTTGTTTTGAGGGGTGTGAAGACTGAAGACTACCTGGCTTACCTATAACCTACATAAACCTCAGGCAATCAGCATCAGCCTAGACATATTGAAAACATCAGGAGGCGTCCTTTATCATCCTCTATCTAGGGTCCCACATGGGTGGTTTTCTGATTTCTTTCACCCAAATGCGGGTCTTCTTGGCACCCTTCCACCTCAGCCGTGACCCATCCTCCCTAACTGATCGGCACATCACTTCGCACATCGAAGCGATGTGAAGTGGAGCCACCTGGCTGCACCAAGGCAATCTGATTCTTCCGCTGGCAAATAGTACCTCAGATCAAACACATCCGACGTAGGAGTAGGAGTAGCAGCAAGGCTAGAACTAGAAGAACTAGCAGCAGGAAGTAGGAGTAGGAGTAGAGTACAGTAGGAGTAGGTCGTCGTCGTCATATTGGTGCCGATAGTAGTAGCAGCAGGAGGGTTGCTGTTCTCCTAGTAGTGTGCACTCTCTTTCATCTCCTTACAAACCGATATCCTGAATTTCTGCTTGCTTCTAGGCGCCCACCGCCACCAACACGAAGGTCTCCTCCGCCACACCCAGCTCCGCGCGGACCGATGCCCGCAGTGGACTGATACGCCGCTCGGTCAAAGACCACACGTCCGCGTACGCGCCCGCGGCTTCCGCGCCGGCGCGCTGGTGGATGCGGGCGAGGTCCAAGAAGTTGAAGAAGGTGTGAAAAGTATGTCCTCAGATGTGACCGGCCAAGACTAGGGGGGCCTTGACTGGAAGTTTGAAGGGTATCTTTTTGGGGTTTGCTATGATTGTTCTGTTTTTAATCCTTTGGGGGGGAGGTTCAGTGTACATGTAAATCGCTGTGCAAGGTGGGTTTGCACAAGATAAGAGGAATGGGGAGCTGAACTTGCAGAAAATTGTTCAGATTATTCTTTCTCCCAGGTGTTTCAGGGCAGGTGTGAAGAAAATGTGAAGAACATTGAGGAGCTGAACTTGCAGAAAATTGGTCAACAACTTTGTTTTTGTCCAGGTGTTTCATCCAGAAATTATAGAAGGTCAAAGATGGTAAACACCAGACCCTTCCGGAGTGGATGGGATGGTGAACGACCTGTGCCGACCTGTCCTTCACCTGACCGGGTGGGGTGAAGGAGTGGTCGAAGATGACGAGAGGAACATCGGACGATCATGCAGAAAGACCTCATTCAAAACACGAGAAGGTGAGATGGAAGGATAGATACCAAAGAAAAGCCATGAACAACTAAGATGCCATTCACTTCGATGATCTGCGAAGATCTGATGAAGCTGGCAATGCTAAGCCACTTTTGCAATCGCCAAAATGATCCATGAACAGGAGGCCTAAACGTTCCATCTATCTGCACTCTGCCAAGTATAGTTCCTTTCCATTACCTCCATTACCATGTTCCACAAATTAGTATATATATCACAAAGCATTCACGACAATACTACATTACTTTCCACTTAGAAAACTATAGTCATTATACAATTACTTTCCAGAAAGGATGGATGTGTTCCTTTCCATTTTCCAGTTACGATACCTAGTACTATCACATCTGGATCTTAACATCGCTTCCAGGAGAACCTCGCCAAACCCCCACATGTCACCCTTTAAACAGCACCGGGAGGCCCATCTCCGACTCCGCCCACAAGTCCCTGGTGGCTTGCGCGGGAAAAACCACTGCATCGGCTCCGGCGATGATCCGCTGCCGGCTCTGGGTCTGCCCGAGTTCCGGAAAGCGCTTGCCCCACCAAAACTCTCCTCCAGGACCAGAGAAGCAAAGGACAAGAAGAAACACAGCTAGTTCTACATCTACGCTTACAAAATCTTACAAAAATTGAATATGAAAACAACATGCCGTTTCATCAAGGACCCAAACGAAATCTCCGTTGGCTTTTGGGGAGTCTTCATCTTCTCCAACTCCCTTAGACTGTATTGTATAGATTCGATGCCTAAACCCGCCAGCTATGCCAGCGATAAATGGCAGGTGTTCAGAATCCGGTGTGACCACGAAACCTCCTCCAACAGCCCCCCAAAATAAACGATGGGGTTCCGTTCGTAAGGCACATCTCCACGGAAATATACGGCGCCACGTATTCCAACCAAGTGAACGAAGGTGGCCCTGTTGCGAGAATGACTGCAACTCCATTAGGGGATGCCCCAGTCATATGGTCTTTATCCGCGAAATGCACACCTGCATAGACCTCCAGTCCAGTCCTGGCTGCAAGCCCGGGGACTTGAGACTGATCTCCTGCTCGTGGATGAACCAAACCACCCGTGGCCGGCTGGGGCGCAGCAAAGGCAAGCGTCCCAAGGCTCTGGCCCAAACGATGGTGTTGCAAATCACCAGCTCAGGTGGTCGACTCCAAAAGAAGGACCCAAGAAAATCCAGTAGGGTCCTGACCAGCTCACAAGGCTGACAGGGATGCTCCCCTGCAAATGAATTAACATGGAATCTAAAAAGCACGGCCTAAACCACCGGTCAATTCTCAGGTTCCATATGGTTCCATGTTGGTTTGTGGGAGGGTATGTAGCATGGGTATATGGATATCTCCCTAACTTCCTCCCAATCACCAGCTAAACAACTCTGCCCCTCGCTGTTTTTGCAAGGTTCGTGGTGATGTTCTCGGAGTGGCGGTAGATGTCTATGTCCTTCACGATTGATACAGCCATCTGTTCCTTCTCGAACTCAGGCCTTGCCACAGGGCGAACTGGTGCAGCTTGGTGATTGAGTGGTTCACTCACACTTAGCTTGGATGCGCCGTAGGCTCTGGCTGAGCTGCGCCATAGAAAAGCACCAAACACTCCAAACTGATCTTATGACCTGACTATACCTCACTTAATGTAGACTTGTTGATAGAAAACCCACTTCAACCCCAAACCAAAACATGGATTTCAGAAGCTAATCATTACTGGCTTTGAAATAGAGTCAGTCCGGATTCCCGGATTGGTCTGGCATCGGTCGGACTTCGAGTGCCTCAAAGGCCCATCATCGCCACTGAGGAGGTGCACTTGGAGACCTTCATCCCTGAAGATCTTCCCCAGCTCCAGCAGGACCATGGGAGCTCCATCCAAGCGCAAGGAGTGGCTCAGCATCACGATCCTCGATGTTCCGAAGCAGGGGAGAACCAAAACGGGCGGAACCATATGAACAAACACAAAAACAACAACACACACACACACACATTTCACAAAACAGAAAAACAACTAAGCAGGGCCCCCTTATCTTTTTCAAGTTCCAAATGAACTCGGGCATGCAGTGTTTGTGACTCAACTGGGGCGGCAAGGGGGCACACCACCCGGAGATTCTTTTTGGAGGCCATCTGTATGCAAAAGAAGTGTTTAAAGTAAACAAAACATTAAAAAACAATACCCAAACCATTCCGCTCCCCACTAAACACAATTAAGATCTACCTAGAATCAATTTGGGATCGGCCATCATGGCAGCTGTTTCCTGAGAAAGCTTTTTCGAGAAGGTCGTCAGCATCTGATCCGCGCGCTCCATGTGTCGGGTAGTCTTGAAGAAGACGAACTCCACGGGATGTGCTGTGCGGTTGAAGTAGCGCTGGGCTGAGAAGAACACATCGTTCGGCAGCGTTGGGCAACCCTTCTTGCCGCGCAAAGGCTTCCTGCTTTCAGGTCGGATAGTGGAGTCCGACAGGGAGTCGATCTGGGGATTCGAAGAAGAGAAATGGGGTGGGAGGGAACCAACAACAACGAATTCTGGTTCAAACACGAACTAAATAACTATGTTATATAAATACATACTTAATAATGCTTGCTTCTTCCTGACGTGTGTGGTCACTGGTGACCATGATCCTCAATGGTGGTTCTAAATTCATGCTAACAAAGTAACCCAGGTAAACCTTGACGTCGTGCAAAAAACGTCATTCACGCAAAGCTGCCCAACATACACTGTCATCCCAATTCTCTGGGGCGACGGTGCAGTATGGCCTCCAACTACTGGGACAAACTTTTTGTGTCTTCCTGTGTCCAACTAAGGCAACCAAAATTGGTCCAAATGGAACGTTGGGCATGTCACGAGCACTTGGGAGATCTGGCGCTGGCACCGCACGCGTCCACGTGCCACGTGCAGTCGCAAGTAGCAACTGCTCGTGGCTAACCATCCCAGTCCATAGGCCCCACACGAACCATCGAACCAAGCGAGTGGCGGGCTGTTTAAAGCCTTCCTTGGATTTGCTGTCCGGGTGGGTAAAAATAGACATACTCTCTCCAGGTTTGGGGATTTAACCACAGGGATCATATTTTAGAAATAAATACCTTAAGCAAAACCAGGCTTCTTGGGCAAGCGGAACCACTCTTCCCCAGAGTGGCTTGCTTGGAAGGCTTCGGCGCTGTAGCCCCTCGCGCGTAGCACGCGCAGAAAGTCGCCCTCTCGGTACATCGCTTCCTCCGGAGGCTGGTGGAGAAAATGTCCATAAGAGTGGATTTAGATTATGTATGATGATGTGGAAATGCAACACATAGCACATAAATAGCTGCCCCAAAATAGCTACATAGCGTACATAGCTACATAGTAGACCTTTTCAAGGCCACCAGTGCCTTGAAGAACAAAAACCAAACTAGAAAATTCATGAAACACCCATATTCCATGCTTGTGATTGGCATGCTTGTGATTGGGCTTGTTCCCCGCTTCGCGCCAGGGGACGGTCTTGTTCTCTGCACACTTGAAAATGCCGTTGGCTTGGGCGATGTCCAAGGCCACTTGGTCGAAGGCCATAATCATGCCTTCGAAGGGATCCACGGATCCGCTCATCCAATGGATCCAATCTACGAGGTTCTTTCTCATCCCTTCCAGGGATGGATGGTCGAGACCATCCCCCAGCAACGGGGGGAGGGCGAAGCTTCGAAGCTAATGATCTGTCTTAACTTACCCTAGGGCTCCTGGCCTACCTCCGTTTCGAAGATGGTTGAGGTGGGTGCCTCGGGGGTCCAAGCACCTTCTGAGGATATGGGACAGGAGCCCTAGGGGTAATCATGGATGGATCTTGGATTGCCATTCTGTAGTCCAGTGTCACAACCGGTGGAAAATCCAATGCCCCAGCTCACATGAATGGTACAGTCTCAACCCGTTTCAAACAACTCCTTTCAGATCCTTTAAGAACTTCCCTGTGACTTCCAACCAGCCACAGGACAAATGTATACAAACATAGGACATAACAACTTTACCAAAGAAAGCAGGGCCAAATACAAGATTAAAAAATATATATATATATATCTGATCAAGCCCAGGATGCTCATCACATGGACCAAAGACCGCCCTTTGCCGTCGGGACAGTTCATACCTTGGATCTTCAGCTCTCTTCCACTTCCACCCCATGATGTACAAGGCGTGGCTTTTTTCATGGCCCAAGCAAGGTTCTACTTGCCAAAGATCGGGAGTTGCCAAGCAAAGGCTCCTCTTGCCATGTGGCCTCCATCCCAGGTTTAAAAAAAGCCTATGGCATCCGCCGAGACCTTGGGGGTGATTCGATGTGACCTCTCCATCCCAGCAGATCCCGGAGGTGCGGACCGTGCAGGTCGGCACGGTCCAAGGAGCAAGTACAGCGAGGAGGTCATGGAGCGGTCACATGAGAGGTTCACGCCATTTTCTGCTTGAGGATGGACACTGAGCTTTCTGCTGGGTGTAGCTTTGTAGCTTGCGGCCGCTAAATTATGTGTCCACCTGCTTCTGCCATAAAACACTGATGCCTCCAATCCTATACAGAACATCCCTGGCTGAAACTCCCCGAGAAAAAACAACTCCGCGCGCAACAAGGCCGGATGGTGTTGTTTTCTTCTGGCCTTCAGGCCAAGTGTCTAGTTCCCACGAGCTTCACCTTGGAGGTCAACATTGACCTTGGCGACGTGCAGGGGGACATCCAGTCGGGAGTCGTTCTGCTGCCGAGACCAGCATCGGCCAGCTGTATGGAAGGACCCTACCAGGGAACAAAACTGGTTGAAGTGGAATCCAGTAAGGAAACAAATCCTGAGAAAAACATAAATCGACTCAATCATTGACCCTCTTGCTAGGTTCAAAGTCTCCAAACAAGCTGTTTAGAGGACACCGGTTGGAAGGTGCTGGAGGGTGAACCACTGACGCCGGGGAGTCTTGGCCAAAGCGGCAGAAAGGCCCAGGTCCAGTGCTGGGTGTACCATCTGGGCAAGAAGGGCCCCCTCACAGTGGGGTTCAGCACCACGAAGGCCTCCGGCTTGGACCAACCAGCCCTTCAACAACTGAAGAAGGAAGAAATGCTACACGTGTTGAAGGACCAATAGACTCACAAGTGTGGTATAACATCTTTCCTGAAAACTGCCAGTGCCAGTTCCTAACAAAGTGTAACTAGATGTAACTATACAGATATGTGTTAACAAACCCGGTTAAAATAATTACGGAATGCTAAACTTTGGTGAACATGCCAAAACACTAGGCCCCAATGCTTAATCCTATATACATTGTGTGCACACTGCATCAACACTGAATTGCGGCTTTGAGACACTGCGTGTCTGGCGCGGGGACTCTTAAGACCTCTCAATGTATAACATGCAACTCATGGTTGAGTATACAACATTGATGGAATGATTCAATCCTGCAATCATTCAAACACATCATATAGAACTATATATATATCACAATCCTGGAATAATTCCACCAACTGCTAGTGCTTCTTGTCAAGTAAGCAGACCCCCTGCCTCATGGACTGAGTCAACCCGCCGCTGCAAACCAATACCCCAGGAACCTCACAGACCGCAGCTGGAATGTTGGCTGCTGGAGGGGTTCAACTGTGTTGAAGCGTCTTCCTCCGCAATCATGGAGGCTTTAGGCTTGGGCTTGTTCCATGATGTTCCATGAGCCCTGCTAAGAGGGCAAGCTTCGTTGCTGAGATGTACAGAAGGCGAGCAACTCAAGGGCAAGCATAGATTCCAAAGCAAATTCATCGTGTTGTGCATGTTAAACACCGCGTATGGTTTCTGCTTTTCTTTGCCCCTGTGCTGATTGGAGTTGCTCCCCACTCCCCTTCTCATCGCTTCTTGAGGTCGTGGAACATCCATATAACCCAGCAGAAATCGGTCATGGCATGATGCTGTTGATTGCCTCACTGACGTTGCGGGTAATCCCATCACAAACTATAGATCGGAGCTCAATGAGAAGGGAGCTTGTAATATCACGTGTGTTCAGTTCTGTATGCATATATATATATATAACAATATTGAAACACTGCATATTATCACATTGTAGTTCAGCATACTCACGACAAAAGCTACTAGCACTTGCCCTCAACAGACTGCCCTTCTTAGCCTCAAAAAAGATCAGCAAAAAGAGTGACATTTCATGACAAACACATACAACCCCTAGGGATCCAAGTACCTTCTCAGAAGGTGATTGGAGGTACTGTAGGTTTGGAGGGTCCAGTCGTACCTTCTGAGGTTCGGTACGACTGGATCCCTAGGGAAACACCGGAAAAAGTACATACAAACACAAAAACAACGACACCTGCTATCGAAAAGAACCAATGTTCGACCACCTGCTGTTTCCACCCAACGTGCCACGACCCGACAACGACCCAGGAGCCAAAGTCGTAACACACATTCCGCTGCCGGATCACCTGGTGGAGGAGCCGGACTTCTTCAGGGCAGGACTTTTCTTCTTAATTAGTGGCTTAGTGACAGTGGCTCTGCATGAGGGTTTCGGACCAAACCAACGAAGAGAGGCAATTTTTGAGGACGCTCGGGAAGTTGGGCGGGGTGATTCTCTGGTTGCTTGTGTTCCCAACTCCGTTGATCTCTTGTTCAATCACCGTCGGTCTGTGCTGTGGCTTGGAGATGGAGATGTGGCTTGGAGCTCTGCCGCGCCACGCCTGTAAGTTTTTGAGTTCAGGAAAGTCGATGGTGCATTCCCCATTGACCACGATCACGTAGTCCACGGGCGCATTGGACCTGGAATCCGGGACAATGGCGATCTGCAAAAAGAAGATCATATTGTCTCCTTGGATCTGCGAGGGGGTCGGGGAGGAAACACATGATCATCGATCAATCATGCAGTTCCCCTTTTGATTCCCTTTCAAGATCTAGTAACTAATTAGGAGATGTCCCATCCAAAAAAACATAAAGACACATACCCTCCATTCAACACATTGGAATTCAGTAAACATGGCCCCTTGGAAGACTGTTTTCCTCTACGAACAGGCCATGTTCCACTTCCGTGATTGTTGGAGGGAGGGTAGCAGAAGCACAAACTCAAATGAAACCATGTCCTTGTGCATGCTCTTAGGTTGGAGGCATTCGCTATTAGGTTGGAGGCCATCGCTAGTAGGCTACAGCCATTTGCAACTCAGTCTCGGTATTCCGGCGTCTTCTCAAAGAATGCCACCACCACCAAGGTCCTTCCTGCGATTGGCCTACTCACTTCCTGCTTGGCCATACGCACGGACAAGTCGCGATAGAAATACGGCCAGTCCTTAGGCAGTTCCAACATGTTCCAACAGCCCAACTCGGAGGGATTTCTAGGCTTAATGTTGTCCATCAGGTCAAAGGGTGCATCATGTCGCCCGACCGGGTCGATGCCATGGAACGCTAGAGTGGGTTCTCTGCTCCGCATCGTTGGTAGACTGGAACCCACCTCTACTTCATCTGCCCCTCGAATCGACAGGAACAGCAGTAGTTAGACTACTGGCCACTCAAAAGAATCAGTAGTAGAGCATGACAAAATCCTCTTGAGCAATCTCAGGACTCTCTCACAGGCTCGGCCACGAAGAGAGTTTCATATGGATGTTGTTCCAGCGATGTCGCCTCACCTTTCTTTGACGACGTTGCTTCGCAAAAGGTCCAGTTCCACCGCCTGAAGCGCTGGAAGCTGCCCGGCCGGTCCAGCAGCTCCCAGGTGGAGAACTGCAGGAGTGAGGCGGGATCCTGAGCATAGGACAGGAATGACCGATCCATCGCCAAGGGAAATCGAATCTCTTCCCGTCCGCGGGTGCAGTCGATGCTGTTGGCCACCAAGGAAACCTCCGGTAAACGCAGTCGACGGGTGTAAGCATCAGACCAGAATTGCAGGCCGGCACCAGCATAGAATTTGGGCAGGAAGGGCCCTTCCACCTGAAGGGTGGAGCACAGCATCGTGGCTGAGGCAGTTGGAAATGGCCCCTACGACCCGGTCGATCCGGCAGCCTTCCTGGTCGACCATTCTTTTGAACATTCTGGTCGACCTGGTGTTGGAGTCTACCATCCTTGTAGTAAAACTATGGTTGTTGGGCAAGAGCCATTATATAAAGCAATGGCAGTTGGAATCCCGAAGTCAACAAAGCCCGTTCGCCGTCCGTGTCCATCCACACCTGGCTACTCACCAGCACCACATGCTCCCCTCGCAGCTCACTGGGCGTAGGCCAACGGGCTGCCCTTCGCACCTCATGACTTCGCTGGTCACAGATCTGTGGAAGGCGATCGAGTAACGCACTCCTGGAGCCAGGACCAAGCAAAAACCTCAGAGGCACGGTTCGCCATACTTGCACATCCGGAGGAATTGACCATTCAAACGTGTTGCTTCTAGTATCTTCTAGTGTTGACCTATGTCCAAACCGTTGAAGTTTGACTAGTGCTCATGATTCACGCATGCTGGATGGTGCTGGAAAAACACATGGACTCCAGAGTCGTGGGATGGATTCCTGAGTCTTATTGGTCCAGACCTGGCCAGTCTCACTGAAGTCATCTCCAAAGAGCCAATGCTGATAGATCGATTTGTACGGCTGATTCTTTCGGCAAGTCGACTCCAAAAGCTGCAAATGCAGCTCCAAGCGTGCCGTGCAGCGTGCCGCTTCCCGGGGGCTGCGCTGGCCCTGAGCGAACAAGTAGATGATGCTGGTGCCAAGTCTGCCTGGATGACTCCCAGGATGTTCCAGGGTCGCCTCTTGGGAAAAAGCTGGAGAATTTTGGGTGGAACTCGCATTCAAAGATCTCTCCAGCGACTCCTGCGTGGAATGTTCCAGAGATTGGTGCTGGTCTCTGCCCACCGGAATAGACACGTCAGGGACATCATCGGAAGGCAGCCAAGATGGAAAGAATGACGTCCACATGTTGAACAAGACCTTAGATTGGTTGCTTGAACTCCACCAAAACAACATGGAAACACCTTGTTTTGTCTTGAGTTAAGCCGTTCACCGCTTGTGGCGAGGACTGTGCTGTGGGTTGGTGTTGAGAATCACCAAACCCCAATTGCAAACATACTACGTCAGGTAAGTGTGCGAAGACAAACTACTCAAATACGCACAAAGAGTTGCAACTGTTGTGTTCTAGTCATATTGACTTCGACGTTCTTCAACTCCTCGAGCACCTTGGGCAAAACTCAAGTGTCTATCTTCCACTGGTGAAAACAGTATGCCTGGATATGCCTGGGATATCTCCTGCAGGATGTCATGTGTCAACAAGGCTTAGTAGAGGCGGGAGGTTCTCCATGCAGTGACTTGTAGTCCAAGCAGCCAGGAGCATCAGCCAAAGGGCAAAACATTTGTAGCGACGGAACATGGCCATCTGCCATCGCTGCTTTCGGTCCCAATTGATCCCAGCTGGAAATCAGCTTCTTAGAGTCTAAAGGAGAGAGAAACAAGAGGTTCAAACAAGACTAGCACATGGTCCATGATTCCATGATCTCATGGATTATATGGATTATGATCTTTGTGGCAGGATGCTCCTGTAGACGCCTTGTTGATGCCAATCGCATGTCCAAAGTCAAAACATTGGCAGTTTCGGACTGCCAATGGATCCTTGGGTACCCTTTAGCTCCAGGGCTCCAGCGTAGCTTCTTTGTTACTAGTAGCGATGCCCTTGTTACTAGTAGCGAAGCACTTGTTACTAGTAGCATAGCACTTGTTGCTAGTACAGGTTCGTGCAGTTTGGATCCTTGGGTTCCGATGTTCCTTTATCTGCGGCTCCAGGTGGCCTCTTCAGCGACCGATGCTCGCGTCTTTTGGTGTCCGGTCATTCGTGGCTTCGTCTTGAGCTGCTTCCGATGCTGCTACCGTTCGGTCAAAATGGATAGGAGTCCTCCTTTTCGTCAGCTCTCTGTGAGCCCCAACGCTCTTGGGAGAAAATCGCACCACATGTGAGGGCATGGTCCTGAACCATGTGGAATCATACAGCACCCAAAGCAATGGGAACAATGTGTAAACTTTCTGATGTGCATACCTACCAAACGCAAGAAGTCAGCATTGGAAAGCACAAGCCCATGATCGCCCTGCAGATCCACTGCAGATCCAAATCATCCAAAGATCCAATACTGGTACATGAACATCAAACACGCCCAAGCTGTTGGTCAGTCCAGGAGCTTTGCAGCATCATGAACAAGGGTGCAGCCGCCCTAAGTCGAGGTCCTGAACATCCGCGTCTTCGCAACCAGCAAAGCGTCTGAACACCAAAGATCCCGGGTTCAAAGGGTCTGGACTGTCTGGATGAACCTTTGAGAAGGTCACTTAGACGATTTTAGGTGATACAAAGACCCCAAGATCTCACAGAAAAGCCCAGTTGTGCCACATATGAAGAAAAGGCCTCCCATCTTCCATGATGCTTTTTGTTCAGCATTTCTACACGATCTGAGGCTGTGCCCGCATGTGCCCGCTAGTTTCCATCTTCAGGATGGTCAAATGCTACATCAAACCCTCAGCCACTCAAAGGCATTCTGGTGCATTGAAGTGCTCTTGGACAATCTGCCCCTTGCGCAGCACATGGCATTGGCAAGCCTCTCACACAGTCTGGCCAGTACCCTTTGACAAAGGGGGGGTCATGAATAAAGGGAATGCAATGCATGCTGATAGTTTGCATCATAAACGAACTGATAAGGGCTGGCGGGTCTATCACAAGCATACTCTTTCGACTCATTGACTCACGGGCTTATGAGGGCTTGCTCGCCATCATACGTTCATTGAACATAGGGCCTGGAGGTACAAACGACATCGGATTCTTCCGTCCTAATCCGTCCATGAAAGCGGCAGAGTCCTTCTCCGCGCCTTATTGGACGAGTCCTTCTCCTTCGTCTCACCTAGGAGTCCCAAGAACCCAACTAGAAAGAAAAGTCGATCTTCTCCAAATGCACTGGAGACCGTGTCTACCTTGTGGCCACTACAAACTACAAACTGCACAAGCACATGTAACATGTATACATACTTACATACCATTACCCAAAGAACCGTTGCAAGATGTTGCAACTACCACTGCTGGAAGGCCATGTGCCATACGCGCGCGCCCCCCTCAGGGCTCCCCAACCTGTTGGTCTTTAAACAATACGTCAAACATCACATGGTTACGTGAGTGGTTACGTGGATGTCATGGACTACGTGGATGTCATGGACCCTTTCAAGATGACTTCTCTCCAAAATCTAGGGGGTGCCATCCACTTCCTACCACGTGATGTGTTGATGTGTTCGCTGGGCGAGACTCTCCGAGTCATCCTGTGTAAAGGGATAATGCTTCCAAGTTGGGATCTCTTTTTCCGCTTCCATCTTAGTTCCAGGGAGCGCATATTTTGAGTCGGAACGCTTGAACATCGGGATGCCGATACCTTTTGCTAATCATGAGCAGCTAGTGAGATTTGCCTCCCAACAACTTGAGTAACCTCCCAAATCATTGGATTTCCACGGTGTCTAACTTCCTCCATCTAGGGCCCAATAGGGCGCCCGCCCCTGCGCGAGCGACGTTCCGTCGAATCGTCGCCGCAATCTTCTCGAGTGAACTTCTGGTCGCCGATGTCCCGCAGGGGCCGGTCCCAATTCCAAAGGCATTTGGGCAAGGGCTCCTCTCCACGCGCCTGTGGTGTGAGGCTCACCATCTCAATGACCTCCTGCACTCGGACGAAGAAAAAAACGAACCCAGGAAAAAGTTGCTACATGTATTTCGGGTGCGCCATCCCCTGCCCAACAGTTTATGCCAACAGGACTGTCCTATGCACTCGTGTCACCCCCCTCTCCATCCCCAAAACCATCTAAAGCAAGTGAACGACATGGCGGCTGGTCTCGCGCGCGGCGGTTTCGACTCTTCCACCGCGCGGCGCTAGTGAAGTCTGGCATGGTTTGCATGTATCCCATCAAGCGCTGCAAGATCTCAGGTGTGCCAATCCGACTCTTAAAGTCAGGATTCAACATGCCTCAGTCCGGCAGCCAGGCGCAAGGCGGTGTGGCTTGAAGAAAACAATGCAGACTCCTTTAATGTAGACTCTTGATGAGTAAGACCTCCCAATTGAATGGACAAACCTCTTCATATGGGGGCTTTATGTATCAAGAGTCTACATTACAGGTTGCGTTTTTTGTGCCTGTTCGTTTTGATTTGTGCCCGTTCCCGAAACGATTTAAGAGTGTTATATAATAAAGGTTATCCACTGAGTGGATAGGCCCATGACTATGCCACTCCTCCTATGCCATGCTGACTAAGGTACCAATGACCAAACGGTCCAGCTCAGTTTGTTCCGGACCCCCTTGTGGCAGGACCTCGTCCTTGGCAGGATCATACTGCATGGTCAAATCGCCATGAGGATCACTGAAGAAAGGAGGCTGCTTGCCATAGACCAGCCTAACTTGCGATCGTGGGGGCCAAAGAATCGATCATCAACAGCGGCACACCCAAAAGCAGCCAAGTTCATGAGAAGTATAGATCCGCCCAAAAACTCCCTCAGGAACCCCCTGTGTCCTTCAGAGGGGTTTAGATGGGTAGATCGACGTAGGCTTTTCTTCCATGGTCAGTCCTCTGGAGACGGGGGAAGAACCGCCCAAGTGGCGCGAAGCTCGGGGGATACACAAGTTCTGGTTGACGAATGCGCAGCCCCAAAGAACTCACTCTCTTGGCTGACTAGACTTGGGCACTTTGACCACTGTGTCCATTATCCATGGATTTGCAGCATTGAATCCGCCGGCCCTGGGGCACGGCGTGTTTTGGGTAGTTGATTTTTTGTTAGTTCTTTGTTAAGCTATGCCTTGTCTGTTTTAGTGCTCCCCCGGGCCCCCTCC